ATGCATGTTAACAACCATGGAGTGTCCTGAACCCCAAAAGGCAGCCACAGCCCAACACACATAAACAGTTTGGGATAAAATGAATGAAAAGGTGATATGTCAACGTGCTCTAAAAACTCACTTTTTCTGACAAATGATGGGTACCGGTATTGTGGAACTATTTTCTGATATACAATTGTTATATATATTTTTCTCATAAAAACAGGTTTAACAACCCACTGGTTATTATAGGTTATTGACCCATAACATACATTTTCACCACGTCCTTGTTGTAGTGCTTGTTATAGAATGAAACCTAAAAACTATCTGCAATTCATTTATGATCTTTATTGTATCATTATTACAAGGCCTATTCGGCTACAGTAAAGCTGATCGTTAATTTCTAATCATTTTCTGCCTTCTTATTTGTTTCTGTTTATCTGAGCAGAAATTAATTTCAAACATCTTGTTCAATAATATTTGACATTGAAATCATGGCATTTTTTATTGGGGTAATTTTATTTTACTTGAAGTCATAACCTTAATAATTTGATCACGTCGAAATTAGTTGAATTGTTTACCACCACTCAGACAGTAAGGAATTGGGGTGGAGAATATTTATTATGTATTATATTTTACTCATTTAGCAGACGCTCTTATCCAGAGCGACTTACAGTTAGTGAGTGCATACATTTTATTTTTCTTCATACTGGTCCCCCGTGGGAATCGAACCCACAACCCTGGTGTTGCAAGCGCCATGCTCCACCAACTGAGGTACACCGGACTGTATCTGCACACTTGTGTGTCAATTACCCAGCTCCAACTTCTTTGACTATAATCTATTTGACAAACACCAGAGGAGAATGATTAAATAAAAAGTGATTGATTATATCATGGGTAAATTACATGTATGTAATTATCATGAGAACTAGAAGTAGCCGATTCTCGAGAATTCACTTTGAAACGAAAAAGTTGGGGTTGGGAGTGAAACTGATATCTAATCGATATCAGGACAATATTTTAGACACAATGCTGAAATGCTAAAATTGGTCATTTTATGTATTTTGTTAATTGGATAATGGTTCCAGTTTTCAGAACAAAACACTTAAATTTCAATTTCAAGTTGTCAGCGTGAAATACTATAGTTAGAAAGTCAGATATATAAACCGATATGATTGATTGAGTAGGCTACTAGCCTCTGCAATTAAATTCAGAAGACATTTATTTGATTTGACAAAGATGATCAACAACCCAACGTAAACACGTTTAGCCTACTTTTCAGAAACACATTCCATGGAAAATGCAAAACTGGGACATTATTTACCTTATAATAATTAAATGTTCTGATGAAGCGAAACAGTGCAAAACAGTATTGGTAGCTGTATTAGAAAACAACAGTAGCAATAATAATTATATTATTAATATTGATAATAACTTAATAATACTAATAATAACATGTCTAATAATAATATTAAATAAATGTCATCAATAATAAATGGATACTTTTTTAATCAAAGCAAGACATGTTAAAGCCAATATAATCACCCTACGTCTTCATGCAATTTGATGAGTGAATATCATTTGCACAAAAAATCTTACATCCCAATATTGCTATGGCGACAATATCAGTAGGGCATAATATATCTTCTACAAATTAGTAAAGCAACAGTCACCTTTTCCAGCGCCTTGTCAATTTACGTTATTCAAGATGCTATTCTTGAGCGATGCTGCTTCTATACGGTTCATCCTCCATACAAGATGACGTCTCTCAATACTCCTGAAGAGCCTGCATCTCAGCGTTTTTCTTTTTTACCCGGAGTGGTCCGTCGACTCAGTCCAGTTACAGTCGTCTGATCTGGGCAGGAGGCGCCAGGTTATCCCCGGGGAGCTGGGGAGTCAAGGACTGTAGCTCGAAATGCAGAATAATGTAATTGTATCTGGTCTCAATTCAACCTAATTACAGCAGAAAGCAAAACAGGCAGAGAGGCTAGCGACTGCAAATGGGTCGGGATGACAGGCTCATCAGCGTAATGCCCGACATCCTCGAGTGGAGAGCTTTGGAAAAGACGCACCAAAGAGCGCGAGCCTGCCTGAGTGACCGGAGTCAATGCATGCGCTTTTCTTCCATTTTCCTTTACCAAAACAACGCAGAAAACATATTCTCTCTTTTCTTGTGTTTATCGAAAATAAAGGCTCCTTTAGGGCTATAAAAACACGAATAGACATAACAACTGTGACAAATTCCTTTTGTCTGTGCTTTGCCACTACTTTATTACCCAGACAGGCAACACTGCCTGGAGATAACGATTCATCACCGGCTGCATGGAAGCCACCATAGACATCGCCTCTGGCCAACCAGCTAAAGGCTTTCATATTTCCATTTGAGAAGGGGATTGCACGCAGAGAGCAGCTTGCGGCGGATGGGCGTCACAAATTTTAGGGAGAGTTTGATTAAATTGGTTTAAATCTTAATATGGATGCAATCGTTGTCAAAGTTGGACAGAAAAATCTGTGATTTTCTGATGGCAAATGCTTCATGTCAAATCCACTCCATGATTTCACATGTATTAATGTGCCTTGTTCATAATTCACTTACGGTTTAGGCCTATTGCTTAGGCCTATATATGTTGAAGTCAAATGTTGGCTTGGAGTTTTATTGGATTTTTTCGAAACTGTCATTGTTTGGTCTTATTTATAGCTTATCATATTCGATTGTGTTAAAAATATATATAGTGCATCAAAACAGTTTTTAATTGTTGTACCTGGCTGATTAGTTTCATTTCAGTATGAGGTGTTAAATGCAGGTAATGAAACGAAACACGAGTTAGGTAGGCTCAAGTTGTCAGGTTCCATAATGAGAGCGCTTCTTACTGTTCAAAATATTTAGAAGAACATAAACTAATTAAAGCTACCATTTTGCCTCTTCTTTGAATTGGTTTTGAATTTAGCATAGGCCTATATGTGTTGGTGAAAAGAACTCGCAGCCCTATTAGGCTAGATAAGAAACTGGACAGTCAATGAACACGGTTTGGCTCTTTTGAAAAATAATTTAATTGTAGTCAATAACAAGGCAAAAAATATTGCAATTATGAATGCTTTTTCACATACTCAATGAGTCCCTCCTCGATAAAAAAAAAAAACGCGGCCGGGACGGTACATGTAACTGATAAAGTCAGTCAGACTACGGTGTTTCTGTGACAAATAATATGAGCCAAGACGACCTAAATGATTGTCCCGATCAATTAGCCTATAGGCAATGATGTATCCCATACCCATAAAATATGCCTATGTTTTGGTCAATCAAACTCGTTGCCAACCTATATGTTTTAGCCCTATACATTACTCTCATTCGGCTAATTCACACTGTGCTGCATGAGTATCTTAAATAACTCTAACGGCGCCCACACTTTGCTTATGACGGTAGGGCGCGCGCAGATACAGTGAGACATCCTCCTTTTGCTCTCCAGGCTTCATTGTGAAGAACGAAAGAGACAGCCTCTCCAATAACCATTATGTCACCAACTGGAGATGATGTGTCATACATCATGGTCGTTTACACATTCATTTTGCCATAATGACGCATTCATCGTCCAAATGTCCAGTGGCATAGCCTGTCATCCCCAACGTGATATCAATAGGTAGGCTAGGCAGTTTAACAGGAATTGAGTTAAATTTTTCGCGCTTCCCAGGATGGCTCTCCAACATATTCGTTCCCTCTTTATTTTATTGGATCACGTTTAAAAACAAACACATCTTAGGTTTACAGTACCCCCATTCTCGTCGCCTCACGTATCAACGTCCATTATTGATATAGCTTTAAATTCATACAATTGATTTTTATGCTGCCCTATAGCCAGTTTGAGCAGTTGAGAGATATCTTTATTCACACTGAAGCTGAAATAAGCCTGGCCTGAATAAGTGCGTAATAAAACGAAGATATATTAAATTCGTTTTCCCCGTGTTGCAGTTTTATTATGAGTCATTTTTTATTTTTATTAAATTTAGACCGGGCAATCCGTCCTCTTGCTTCAGGCAGAGAAAGGTTAAATAATTTGTGCCAATCAACACTGTGTTTTGCATTGTCAAGGGCAAGCCTGGATTCTCTTATGGACCTTATTGGCATAGCCATAGGCTGGCATAATACTCTGCACTTATCCAAAAATAATAGTTTTAACCATGTGTTGAGGCTATGTTTTTACATTTACTTTGTTTACAAACATTGGAGAAAACAAGCTTATATTCTGGGTTCTGATGGGGTAGTACTACGACAGTTGAACTAAGCTCATGAGGCATTTATAAGTTACATTTTTCAATAATCAATATCATTCATTTATAAGTCCAAAAATGGATGTAGCAACTGCAGATTGCCGCTTTAATTTGTTTTATGGAACCTTATTTTGTGTAGGCCTATAGGAGAGTATGTTTATGACTTTCTGAGTTGTTCATGCACAAGTGTTGTTGGACAAGTGCAACATTCACAGTTTGTTTTGCAACATATTTTTTGTCTTCTTGCATGATGCACTGATTAAAGAACGACTATCTTGTAATGATCATGATTAGGCTATATAGCCTGCCCTATAGGCCTATTCCTCACTAACGGTTGTCTTCTTGCATATACAATGTTATTGGTGCGTAATAGGGATCACATAGGCTTAATTGTAAATTAGTTGAAATTCTCATGGCTAGATCAGGTCTACAATGAAAGGGCAATAAACAGGGATGTATAATATCAAATAAAACCCATAGTTACATAGCAATTAAACATGATAGTCCATATCTATTAGCTAGTTGTTCATGTCATATATGTTTATAGTGGGATTAAGGTTGGTGATAGCCTATGTGATCAAACTCAGTTCTATTCTGATATACACTGCATGTCACATTATACAGCACAATACAACTGGGACTGCAACTGGCTGCGGGTTCTTTAAGAGAAGGGAGCATGCTGCAAAACATTGAAATGCCGGGGCCAATAGATGACCGAATGGCAAGAGTTAGGCAGAAGGGGTGTCTCGACAGCTGCTGAAATCACTTCAGACGCACTGGAACCGAGCTATCTTTTCCAAATAATATTCATGTTTAGCACAGTTAGCACTTCATTTTGTTTCATCTTTTGATACGATGAGGTGGAGTCGCCAATGGCCTCTGCCTTTGTAGATGTTGTAATAACAATGCCAGAGAAGAGCGCCAGTATCCCCTTCACAGGAACTTGGGAACTCCTCAAATTGCGGCTTTGGCTGTAAGTAGTCTGGCTAACTATTTTACATTACCAATAGGCTATTCATCTCTATCGATTAATGTGCAAGTAAATATGTTAAAGATCATGCTACAAGGTGATGGATATGCATTTTAAGACTCCCCCAGAATCTATCCCGATGGATTATTAACAGTGCATTTTAGCCTACCCCATTTCTACATGTCTTCTGGACAGATAATGGAAACGCTTCGGACGGTGTTGGTCGCGCACTGCTCAAGGAAGTATCTTTAGGCTAAAAGATCTGAGCACAGACGGGGACATCATTTCTGCGTCCGATACTGCGGCAATAAGGAAAACAAATAGCATACTTTTCATCAACATATGAGACGTTTTGAGACGCTAATAATGAACACAACAATGGAGCACACTGGAATTGAAGAGGTAAACCAGACACACCAGCAGCACGAGCCCATCAGCTTTGGAATAGACCAGATTCTGAACAGCACGGACCAGTCGAGCAGCTGCATGCTACCCAACCGAACCAGCGACACGGATTACACGCTTGCCCCAAACGTTTACACCAATGGCTATAACAGCGTCTATAACCCGGCCTGCTCCATGGCGGCTGGACTCGCAGGTTCCTATAACGTGAATATGAACATGAATGTTAGCATGAACATGAACGTTAACGTTAACGGTGGGAACGCCGGTGGTGTTATCAGGGTGCCGGCTCACAGACCCATGCCACCGAATCCACATCAGTCCCCGACTACTCATCCACCTGGCCTCGCGGCTGGCATCCCCTCAGTGACTTCAATGGCAAGTATGGGAAATGCGGCAAACTTTACCTTCCCGTGGATGGAGAGCAGTCGAAGGTTCGCAAAGGACAGACTCACTGGTAAGATTCACCTAAACTTCTGAAAATGTATGTTTCTGTAGACAAAAATTATGTCACAAAATGGGAACATTGCTTCGTGGATTTCCCCATAGGCCTATCATATCTGATATATCCTTTCCAGTGGAAAAGAGGTTCAAACTTCAATAGAATTCGTTAAAAAGTTCAGATTGATTTGTTGTTTTTTCAGTTTAAACCACATCCTTACAAGCAGGGCATATGCCTAAGCAAAACATTGTATCATCTTCCTAAGCAAAACATTGTATCATCTTGACGCTGTCTGTGACAGACTCATTTATCAAATCATATGTGCGACTGGGCATATGGCATGAGGAATTCGATTTTACACCAAGGCCTGTCTGTATGTATCATATTAGTTCATTTAAAAGGCAAGTAAATACTTGCAGGTATTGTTATGAATATATGTTGTGTACATTTGTATAATTATATGGGTATAATGTCAACCGTTAAGATTGTCTTTCCCATTTAATAGGAGGGGAAAATGTGATAAATCACTGGCACCCTAATCAAAATGATAGCTCTCCATAACCTACAAAATGGATGACATGATTTGAAGAGATTTCTCACTTTCAAATAGAACAGATTTATTTCTGAATATAAAATGTACCGTCCAACACCATCTGATATATTTTAATAATAACAACATCATTATCAATATGCTATAATAAAGTTAATAGGTTAATGCAATAATAGTAATAATAATAATAATACCCTAATAATAATATAATAGCCTTTTTGTGAGTATTGCTGTTGTTAGGCTATTAGGCCTATTATTATTATTATTACTATTATTGCTTATTGTAGCAGCCTAATAACAATATAACAATTTGCTATAATAACAACAAGAAAAACCAACAGTTTTCTAGCTTATTATTATCATTATTAGGACTATGATACATTTACTTTTTGAGGCATATAGTAGCTAAGCTTTGTAGTTGTGGCAAATAGGCCTACTCTTGCTCCAATACAGAATAGGTCATAAACTAGCGAGTCAGTCTACTGCAAGGCAGGCATTGATGACGCACTCCTGCAGGTGGGTTATGTAAATAATTGTGTCTGGGCTCTACTGGCCTATTCACTAAGTCACTATTTAGGGCTATAGTTGAGTATACAGACGACTAAATAGAGAGAAGATCGCGACACTGTCACTAACAACGGACAAAATTGTTATTTTTCGTGTTTAGCATAGACAGGCTTTTTTGGCATTTCCTTTTCCACATTGAATGTCATGATAATAAATACAAATCTATAATTTATTTATTTATTATTTCCCCTTTATTTAACTAGGCAAGTCAGTTAAGAACAAATTCTTATTTACAATGACGGCCTACACCGGCCAAACCCGGACGACGCTGGGCCAATTGTGCTGTGCCAATTGTGCTGGGCCAATTATTCTATTCGTGTAGTCCTTGAATAAATAAATAATATGCCATTTAGCAGACGCTTTTATCCAAAGCGACTTACAGTCATGCGTGCATACATTTTTGTGTATAGGTGGTCTCGGGAATCGAACCCACTACCCTGGCGTTATAAGCGCCGTGCTGTACCAGCTGAGCTACAGAGGACCACACATACAAGCTGTCTTAAATGCTGTCTTATTTGAATGTAACTATCTTCAACACAGTGTGGAACAATTATCCAGCTATGTCCAGACTAATTGAACCATTGAAATAAATAAAAAGGGAACATAATTGTGACAAATTCTCTACAAACTTTGAAGCATGGCATTTAAACATTTAGCGTATGGCCCGACTTGTTTATTTCCTCCATAAACCTTTGAATTTACATTTATCTTCACCATTGGGGTGTCAAGGTAAATTAGATGACATTGCGAACGCTTCAGGTTTCACCAAATGTATTGGCCTATATATGTGACACTGGCTGGTGTAATGCATTATCTATCTAGTATCGTTCACAAAAATAAATGATTTTTGCTGTAGGCCTAAGCACAAATGAAATGGCATTATTTATCTTACTCAAGTTCAGATTTCTCTTATCTTCACGCGCTTTTAGTTTAAGCTATCATAAGACCCTATTATTGCGTATAATAGGCCGATACAGTTCAGGCATTTAATCTGTAGAAGAATAATTAATGAATCAAAGTATTGTGGCTGGGATTGTGAATAGGACCTAGGCCATACTGTATATCAATGCCTACAGGTCCTGAATCATTTGACCAACGCTTTTCTAGCATTTTGGGAAATTGGGAAGTGGCATTTGGTTCAAAATCATTTTTCACGCAGGCTCTGGTGTTTTCGATTAGCCTAGAAAAAGGCACAACACTAAAGGTTGCATGGGTCATTATAGGCCTATAGGCCTACAGTTTAATATTTTCTAATTCGAGGAACATTTATTTTAAAGATTATGGAAAGAGAAGAAAGGGGTAGTAACTTATTACTGCCGTGAAAATGAAATCGTAATTCGATGGCCAGCTTTTGGACTGTACATTTTACAATGACCATAACCTCAGCTCCCACACCGCCGAGAGAGGAGATATTCTGGCATGACGTCACCACCATGAAGCTGAAAATGAAGAACATCATGGATTGGCCCGCATTAATTATTAACAATGCTATAGCGCTGTGCTTTCCTCATTAATTATTTAAACCAGAGAACAGATATGTAAACTGTAAAATATATTGTGTAAATATGCGTATCAATTGTGTTCATAGTCACAAAGGGCCTCTCGTTTAATTTGGTTTATCTTTGGTGTTGGTTATGTAGCATCATTATCACCCACCAACAAAACTAGCCTACTATTCTATTAGGCTAACGTTTATTTTAAGTGATCACTTTTTGTTATCATTTGTGATTAACATTTGAGAAAAAGGCCTATCTTGAGATTTATTGAAAGTGTTTGAAGTATTTACAGTGTAGCCATTTGTCAACATTGTTTGAGACATTACTTGTTTTAATCACACATCGTAGGCTAATATTCGGATGTTTTTGCCATCGATTTTCATTTGAGTTAATCATTTTTGATAATATCATAGGGGCCAAATTGTATTTCCACTTTTAATAATCACAAATACATTTATTTCGGGAACCCTGATAGGCCTACTCGGCTCCAAAATATAGGAAATTAGTTTTAGTTGCTGGGTGGGCTTATTTCAGCATTCAGCACCAGTCTTTTCGGTTGACCTAGCTTAAATGAATATCTCAAACCTTAAAGCGTTTCTCTGGATACGTGAAATAGACATATCCTTTTTAAAATAAATTATTCCCCTATGATATTGAATTGCAGCGCTGCATTTCACCGCAAGTGTCAAAGCAAGTGAAACAGCGAACAGGCCTAACATTGGAGATGTGATATTCACAACAGACCGGACAGATTGGGAGGCGCTGAAAGGGAAGAACACATGTTTTTTTGTTAATTGACTTCTTGGCAGTTTGCAAGTTTCAAAAAGCAGAGAACTGCATAAACAGATTTGTCCCTTCAAGTCAACAAACAGAGTTGTTCTTATGGCTCTATAGGTTCTGTGGAAATTGGCTAATTCAAATAGAAATGTAGGCCCTTGGTCTGTTGTTGGTGGCATAGCACCAGAGCCATTTAAACTTTTACAATATCTGCATGTATTACCACAAAAACATTATATCCATACTGTATTACACTATAATCTTGAAGTGAGGTAACAAAGAATAACCAATCTATACCCCTATAACCAATGTTTTTTGATGAGATTTCAGCATTAGGAGAGTTGATAAGTGGTTATGATTATTTAGAGAGCTATAAATACCTTAAAATAACATATAATTACACAAACCACTAACAGATATAATATGCCATTTAGCAGACACTTTTATCCAACGCGACTTACAGTCATGCGTGCATACATTTTTTTGTGTATGGGCGGTCTCGGGGATCGAACCCACTACCTTTGCGTTACAAGCGCCGTGCTCTACCAGCTGAGCTACAGAAGACCAGTTGTAAGTACTATGTAATGTGTACTGGGATTACATTGTACCTGCTTGTTGTACCTGTGCAATGTCCCATAATGGCCAGTGAGGTTAGAGCATGCTTTATGTTAATGCGTAGAGTAAATCTAATTGTGTTCATATAGTAGTGTTCAATCTTAGTTAGAAATAATGACTTTCCTCACAAATATATTAATTTAATGATGGCTACAGTAATGGGATATTAATGGGGAAAGCCGTACTGTTTTCTCTAGAAGTTGCTTCTATTCTCAGCCAGTGTGGCAGGGGCAAGTGGCTCTGTTTTGCCTCACAGGGTAATAAATAGCAATATATGTTCATGTTATATTTCAATATCCCCGTTAGAATCCTTTACGAACATATGTATTAGATTGCTACACGCGTAATATCCGCAGTGGGGAAGAGAGGCGCTGTCACAGCAAGGTGTTATTAAGTATAAGTGGTTTTATTACATCTCTACGGTAGAATTTTATATTTTGATATGCTTATGCTAAATCATATTACCCAGGCATCAGATTTAGTATTCTCCATAATTTCCTTTGTCGTCCCTTAGAAAAAATATATTCTCACAGATCAATTCATGCAATGTTTTCTTGAAAACAAGATACCCACCTTTCAAATAAAAATTAAATAAGACCATTGAATGAAATCAAATGTATAACACTTAACACTTTTGACCATATTCCATTTTATCTCCTTTAAGAAATACATTGATCTTGGGAATTTAATGGAGATGTGGTAGTCAAGTGAAATGTACTATAGCCTCTGTGCCCATATTTGGTCTTACTCAGTTATGGGAAACAGTATTTTCTTCAATGAATAAAATAATTGTGGTAATTGTCTGTGTGTAAACACTCTGACAACAACTTCTTGCAATATGGGCTGTAATTAAAAGCAATCACATCAAATTATAAAGACTGTTACTGTAAAGAGGCTGAGGGCTAAATTTAACTAACTGCCTTGTTCCATAAATGTCTGCAGGTTTTGATAACAGACAGGTGTGTTCTGGGCTCTCGGCACACTGCTGCATTTAGTGGAATACTACAACACACTCGGCTCTTTATTTTGGAAGCTGGTCAAAAATAGCAACATCACAGACAAAGTAAAACAAAAACCTATTTTACAATGTCTAGACCTTTTGTCTAATGTCTTTTGTTCTATTGTCACACTAATTAGTCAATCATCATCCATATTAATATTGTTACATTTCAAATGTTTCAACTGTTTACTTGGAATAGAATTAGAGTTAGGTTGAAGGTTCCCTTTAGCATGTTCGACTGGATGGCAGTCTGTTTGCTTGTTACTCTTGGGTTGCATATGAACGTGCTTGAATGTGCCTGGTCCATTAGCTGGTCCACAGATGGCCTGAAATAGAAGTCTAATGTGGTATTATCTGTACCCAGACCTGCATTTTGAGCCTGGAGCAGACATGCTTGCTCCAAATGTGTGACCTATTCATTTCTATCCTCAGGCAATGAAGGGTTGGACCCTCTCTAGATAAAAAAATATGTTTTAACACAGCACTTACAGTCACTGCAATTTTATTGCAAATGTACCCAATTTACATTTTTAATGTATTTAAAAAAAATAATGTGTTAATTATTTATTCTGCCATTTAGGTTTATAACTAATTAGAGAGGTTGGGAGTGATTTGAAATGATTGTTGAGTGCATTATGTGGCTTGTGTTTCATTTGTATTTTATCTCATTTCCAAAGTGCCTCAGTGGAAAATGAATTTTGATTGCTCACACTGAATTCAGGTTGCTAAATTCTCAACACAGTACCAGTGGTCCCCCAGGACACATATGGAGATGTTTTCATATGCATTTTGGCTCCTGGTGAGCTCTCTGACAGAAGCAGACACATAAACATACTGTAAGACAACAGGCAGACAGCTTGTGAGGAACAGGGAAGCCTGCTCCCGATCCCTTCGACAGAAAAGTCTGTTTTACAGGTAATGGATCTATGACAATAAGGCTTTAGAAAGGATCTATATCCAAACATATTATATTACATTTATGAATGTTCTGTTTACTCATGCCTGAGGCTAGGGACAGGGGGGGCGGGGGGACATGTTAAGAACTGTAGCGTGCACATATCGCCTAAGTTACTATGTTTGACTGGATAGGTTAAAAAGCTAACTTTAATGATTCGGCATCAAACCAAATGTGATACTTTTGGCCTAACCAATCAGTGGAATGGTCCTGTATGGTTCTGTTGGTAAAGCATGGGATTAGCAATGCCAGGGTTGTGGGTTCAATTCCCAGGGCTACCCAAAAGTGAAATGTATGCACACATGACTGTAAGTTGCTTTGGATAAAAGCGTCTGCTAAATGGCATTTGTTACAAATCGTACTAAATGACAAAAAAAAAGACAAATGTAACAAATCCCCATCTTGACAAAATAGCAATGAGAGGTACTTCCAGAGTACCTTCCCCAACAGCTCCATGTGGGTCCCTGACTGTGTCTCCCTTTCTTTAGCGGAGCAGGCAGAGGACAGACAAGCAGGAGACCCCAATGGGAGGCCAGGAGCCCTCCCGGCCCTGCCAGGCCTCTGCCCTCTCCCCAAGGGGGACATCAGCAGGGTCCCTACCTGGAGCTCTATGGAGACATTAGCCAAACACTATTACCCCGAACTCGCTCACCTGCGAGACACTGGCCCACTTGCAGACTATCCCTTTCGAAAGGGTACTTGTCCAGGTGAGTCACTTCCCTGGTCTTCTTTTACATGTGTCCTTTATCTTGACCTGGTTTGTCTTCTCCTGGTTCCCATCAGGGGTGTTAAAGTACCAAAATGCATAGCTAGGTCCATAGGACAAAACTGTATGTACTGAAAAACTGTATGCATTAGATAAGAGAAAAACACATGAATATAGGACTGTTTTAACCTTGTAATCATATTACAAGGGGCAATAGCCAGTGATTAGTCATTAAATGTTGGCTAATTCCTGGTAAAAATAAATAAAAAGATAGATGATGAAATATTGAATTGAGTTAGGGATGGACAACAGAATCAACCTTATAACATGAGTGATCATGCAAGCTAAATATATGGCAAAGAATGGTATAATATGTCAGAGAAGGTTCTCACTTGACCAAGGTTAATCTCTGGAAAAACAAACTTAGTCTCTCTCTCTCTCTCGCTCTCTCTCTCTCAGCAGCCCTTTCTCCCTTCTCTGTGACCCGGCGCATCGGCCACCCCTATCAGAACCGGACGCCACCCAAAAGAAAAAAGCCCCGCACCTCGTTCAGCCGTGTGCAGATCTGCGAACTGGAGAAACGCTTTCACCGACAGAAGTACCTGGCGTCGGCGGAGCGCGCCACCCTGGCCAAGGCCCTGAAGATGACAGATGCACAGGTCAAAACCTGGTTCCAGAACAGAAGGACAAAATGGCGGTAGGGGCCCATTACAGCAGCGCATTACAGCAACACACTTCTAGACATCCTTTAACACTCTCGGTATTTACACTCTCAGTGTTAATGTTTTTTAACTGTCAATTCCCCCCCCCCCCAAAACTGCTTTCCATTGTTCTTGCTGCCTGATGTTTTATGCATTTTGGTACATCAGATTGATACAGGAAGTGTCACAAAGTAACAACTAGGCAGCTGTTTAAATTAGAGTATGGTATGTGAATTGCTTTGCTTGAGGTGAGCAAGCTTTTGTGATGTTTTAAAGGAATATACTATATATTTCTGTGGTAGATAATGTGCCCAAGGCACAGTGAAACACCTTTTTTGCTTAGCTTAGCTCCTACTTATTATATTGACCAACTAGTCTGAATAATTGAGTGCACTGTCGATGGCAGAAACTCTTCCCCCTAATTCACTCAAATGGTTGTTTATGGTCATTTGAAATAAATGAGTGGACATTCAAATTATAATGCCTTACCTTTATTTAACTTTTGATGACAAACAAGGAATTAAAGGGAATGCATGTACTGTAGTAGTTGTTCCTGTATATATGAGTCATCTTGTATCATATACTCTGTGATCAGATAATGGTCATTCAGTGAGATCCAACTGATCTGGCTGACCATCACCTGATATGGACAAGGATGTTTTGTTGTTATCCATATTGTGAACAACACATGGGGTCGAAGGTCATTAAATATCGTAGGAAATCCAATAGCAATAATTGGAGGTGTGATGTGCCGTCATTGTAAATAAGAATTTGTTCTTAACTGATTTGCCTACTTAAATAAAGGTTCAATAAAATTAATAAATACAAACTTTGAAAAGCTGGCACAGGATGCATTTCAATACCAGGTGTAAAAGTAAAGCCTGGGATCCTATTTCAATAGGTATTTATATGCCAGGTGTCAACACAGGGCCATGTTTTCGACGGAAACATGAACAAATAATGGCTAAATTGCATATAATGTATAACCAGGGAATTGGCTAACTCACTTTCCTGATTTCCAAGCTAGTTTTGATGTGATTTTTTATATTTCCCCATAGTGTGTTGATAGGATGTGCATGAAGGATGTATTTGTGCCACAGCTACACTAGTAACAAGCAAATGATCAAATGAACAGCAGCGAAATCGGATTAGGATAATGTAGTTAACAATAACGTGTGGCTAATGGAAGGAGGATGGTATTTATGAAACAATATTTTAAAGGTGTTTTTCTGACCGTGTTGCACATGCAGGCCTAACCGTCACATGGAAATACACTATATATACAAAAGTATGTGGACACCCCTTCATATTAGTGGATTTGGCTATTTCAGCCACAACCGTTGCTGACAGGTGTATAAAATCGAGCACACAGCCATGCAATCTCCATAAACAAACATTGGCAGTATAATGGCCTTACTGAAGAGCTCAGTGACTTTCAACGTGGATGCCACCTTTCCAACAAGTCAGTTTGTCAAATTTCTGCCCTGCTAGAGCTGCCCCGGTCAACTGTAAGTGCTGTTATTGTGAAGTGGAAACGTCTAGGCGCAACAACGGCTCAGCCGCAAAGTGGTAGGCCACACAAGCTTACAGAACAGGACCGCCGAGCGCTGAAGCGCGTAGCCCGTAAAAATCGTCTGTCCTCGGTTGCAACACTCACTATCGAGTTCCAAACTGCCTCTGGAAGCAACAACAGCACAAGAACTGTTCGTCGGGAGCTTCATTAAATGGGTTTCCTTGGCCGAGCAGCCACACACAAGCCTAAGATCACCATGCGCAATGCGTCAGCTGGAGTGGTGTAAAGCTCGCCACCATTGGACTCTGGAGCAACTGTAAAGCTTGTTTGAGGAGTAATTATGGTCTGGAGCTGATTTTCATGGTTTGGGCTAGGACCCTTAGTTCCAGTGAAGGGAAATCTAAACACTACAGCATACAATTACATTCTAGACGATTCTGTGCTTCCAACTTTGGGGCAACAGTTTGGGGAAGGCCCTTTCCTGTTTCAGCATGACAATGCCCCCATGCACAAAGTGAAGTCCATACAGAAATGGTTTGTCGAGATCGGTGTGGAAGAACTTGACTGGCCTGCACAGAGCCCTGACCTCAACCACATTGAACACCTTTGGAATGAATTGGAACGCCGACTGCGAGCCAGGCCTAATCGCCCAACATCAGTGCCCGACCTCACTAATGCTCTTGTGGCTGAATGAAAGCAAGTCCCCGCAGCTGTTATAGCAGCAAAGGGGGGACCAACTCCATATTAATGCCCATGATTTTGGAATGGGATGTTCGACGAGCAGGTGTTCACATTCTTGTACAGACAGCATAATATCCATGTAAGAATGACATACATCCAGGGCCGTAACCAGGGTCTGAGTTTTAGTGAGGTCCTCCTTCCAATACATTTTAAGAAAGTTGAAGCTCATTTACTGCATTTCTATACAATTTAGAAACTCTAAAATGCTATTTGGAGAACAGCAAAAACAAGCAAAAATGACCCCAGCCATTATCACATTGGTTGCTGTAGCTTCATTCACCTCAGTCGATCTACAAACACATAGCCTACTAGCTATACAATTAGCCGCTACATATTAACTGACATTAATTCAGCACCGGGATTAAAAAGTACAATTTAATATGCACAAAGGGATCTGTTAGCAGAAAAAATATTTTATTAACAAAAAGTGAAATAAATGAGTTTGCTTTACAGATTAATTTTGTTGTTGCAAATTTCCTGCAATTCTACACATTTTGCCGTTCTTTCAGAAAGTATTCATACCCCTTGACTTATTCCACATTTTGTTATGTTACAGCCTGAATTCAAAAGCGATTAAAAAAAAAAAAATCCTACCCATCTACACACAATAACCCATAATGACAAAGTGAAAACATGTTTTGAGAAATCTCATTTACATAAGTATTCACACCCCTGAGTCAATACTTTGTAGAAGCACCTTTGGCAGCGATTACAGCTATGAGTCTTTCTGGGTAAGTTTCTAAGAGCTTTCCACACCTGGATTGTGCAACATTTGTCCATTAAACTTTTCAAAATTCTTCAAGCTCTGCCAAATTGGTTGTTGATCATTGCTAGACAACCATTTTCAGGTCTTGCCATAGATTTTCAAGTAAATTTAAGTCAAAACTGTAACTCGGCTACTCAGGAACATTCACTGTCTTCTTGGTAAGCAACTCCAATGTAGATTTGGGCTTGTGTTTTAGGTTATTGTCCTGCTGAAAGGTGAATTAATCTCCCCATGTCTAGTGGAAAGCAGACAGAACCAGATTTTCCTCTAAGATTTTTCCTGTGCTTAGCTCCATTCCATTTATTTTTTATCCTGAAAAATGTCCCAGTCCTTAACAATTACAAGCATATCCATAACATGATGCAGCCACCACTATGCTTGAAAATATGAAGAGTGGTACTCAGTAATGTGTTGTATTGGATTTTATTTTTTATCCTGAAAAACTCCCCAGTCCTTAACGATTACAAGCATATCCATAACATGATGGAGCCACCATTATGCTTGAAAATATGGAGAGTGGTACTCAGTAATGTGTTGTATTGGATTTGTCCCAAACTGACAGTACGTTCGGAAAGTATTCAGAACCCTTGAAACATTTTTTTGTTACGTTACAGCATTATTCTAAAATTGATTTTGCAAATGTATAAAAAATAAAAAACACTTATTTACGTAAGTATTCAGACCCTTTGCTATGAGACTCGAAATTGAGCTTAGGTGCATCCTGTTTCCATTGATCATCCTTGAGATGTTTCTACAACTTGATTGAAGAACACCTGTAGTAAATTCAATTGATTGGACATGATTTCGAAAGGCACACATCTTTCTATATAAGGTCCCACAGTTGACAGTGCATGTCAGAGCAAAAACCAAGCCATGAGGTCGAAGGAATTGTCCATAGAGCCCCGAGACAGGATTGTGTCGTGGCACAGATCTGGGGAAGGGTACCAAAAAATGTCTGCAGCATTGAAGGTCCCCAAGGACACAGTGGCCTCCATCATTCTTAAATGGAAGAAGTTTGGAACCACTGAGACGCTTCCTAGAGCTGTCCACCCGGCCAAACTGAGCAATAGGGAGAGGAGGTGACCAAGAACCCGATGATCACTCTTACAGAGCTCCAGAGTTTCTCTGTGGAGATGGGAGAACCATCCAGAAGGACGACCATCTCTGCAGCACTCCACCAATCAGGCCTTTATGGTAGAGTGGCTAGACGGAAGCCACTCTTCAGTAAAAGGCATATTACAGCCCGCTTGGAGTTTGCCAAAAGGCACATAAAGGACTCTCAGACCATGAGAAACAAGATTCTCTGGTCTGATGACACCAAGATTGAACTCATTAGCCTGAATGCCAAGCATCACGTCTAGAGGAAACCTGGTACCATCCCTACGGTGACGCATGGTGGTGGCAGCATCATGCTGTGGGGATGTTTTGCAGTGGCAGGGACTGGGAGACTAGTCAGGATCGAGGGAAAGATGAATGGAGCAAAGTACAGCGAGATCCTTGATGAAAACCTGCTCCAGAGCACTCAGCACCTCAGACTGGGGCGAAGGTTCACCTTCCAACATGACAACGACCCTAATCACACAGCCAAGAAAATGCAGGACTAGCGTCAGGACAAGTCTCTTAATGTCCTCGAGTGGCACAGCCAGAGCCTGGACTTGAACCCGATTAGAACATCTCTGGAGAGACCTGAAAATAGCTGTGCAACGACGCTCCCCATCGAACCTGACAGCGCTTGAGAGAATCTGCAGAGACGATTGGGAGAAACTCCCCAAATACAGGTGTGCCAAGCTTGTAGCGTCATACCCAAGAAGACTTGAGGCTGTAATCGCTGCCAAGGATGCTTCAACAAAGTACTGAGTAAAGGGTCTGAATACTTATGTAAATATAATATTGCAGTTTTTCATTTTTATTACATTTGCAAAAATGTCTAAAAACCAGTTTTTGCTTTGTCATTATGGGGTATTGTGTGTAGATTGATGAGGGGGAAAAAAACAATTTAATCAATTTTAGAATAAGTCTGTAAGGTAAGAAAATGTGGAAAAAGTCAAAGTGTCTGAGTACTTTCCGAATGCACTGTAACACTTTGTATTCAGGACAAAAAAAGTTAACTGCTTTGCCACATTTTATTACTTCAGTTCCTTGTCGCAAATAAGATGCATGTTTTGGAATATTTTTATTCTGTACAGGCTTCCGTCTTTTCACTCTATCAATTAGGTTGGTACTGTGGGGTAACCACAATGTTGTTGATCCATCCTCAGTTTTCTCCTATTACAGCTATTAATATCTGTAACTGTTTTAAAGTCACCATTGACCTCATGGTGAAATCCCTGATTGGTTTCCTTCCTCTCCGACAGCTGAGTTAGGAAGGATGCCTGTATCTTTGTAGTGACATGGTGTATTGATGCACCATCCAAAGTGTAATTAATAGCTTCACAATGCACAAAGGGATATTCAATGTCTGTTTTTTGGTTAGTTTTTTTACCAATAGGTGCAACCTAATCTCAGAGCTTTTCGTATTACTCTGTACGTAAATCCGAGAAACTCAATTTAGTATGATATGTTATGTTTTGTATGGTATGTATTAATTTGTGGAGGTCCATTACCCATTCGTATGATATGTTACGAATTATAATTCGTATTATATGTTACGAATTTGCTAAAGGTTCAAAATGTTATGGATTTGCAAAACGTATGATATGTTACAAATTGTAGCTAGGTGGCTAACGTTAGCTAGGCTAGGGGTTAGGGGTTAGGGTTAAGTTTAGGAGTTAGGTTAAAGGGTTAAGGTTAGGGGTAAAAGGGATAAGGTTAGGGCTAGAGGAAGGGCTAGCTAAAAGGGTTAACGTTAGGTTTAGAATTAGGGTTAGGGTTAGCTAACATGTTAAGTAGTTGCAAAGTAGCTAAAAAGCAGTAAGTAGTTGAAAAGTTGCTAATTAGTTAAAATGCTAAAGTTGTCCATGATGAGATGCAAACTCGCAACCTTTGGGTTGCCAGATGTTCGCATTATCTGTATTATGTAGCCATACCAAACATAACATATTATACTAATTTGAGTGTCCCGGATTTAATTTTACTATGTTACGTCTAGTCTATGAGACCAGGCCGATAGGTGCCCTTCTTTGTGAGGCATTGGAAAACCTCCCTGGTCTTTGTGGTTGAATCTGTGTTTGAAATTCATTGCTTGACTGAGGGACCTTACAGATAATTGTATGTGTAAGGTACAAAGATGAGATAGTCATTCAAAAATCATGTAGTCCATGCAACTCTTTATGTGACTTGTTAAGCAAATGTTTACTCCTGAACTTATTTAGGCTTGCCATAACAAAGGGGTTGAATACTTATTGACTCAAGAAATTTCAGCTTTTCATTTTTCATTCATTTACAAAAAATGCAAAAACATAATTCCACTTTGACATTATGGGGTATTGTGTGTAGGCCAGTGACCCCACAAAAAATCTCAATTTGATCCATTTTAAATTCAGGCTGTAACACAACAATGTGGAAAAAGTAAAAGGGTGTCAATACTTTCTGAAGGCACTGTATGTAATGTTAATATGATATCTGTGCGAGAGTGACTAACAAAATCAATGGGGGCCCCTTGGAGATCAGGGCCCCTGGGCATGTGCCCTGCGTGCCTGGTGGAATATTAAGCCATGATTACTACAAGTTTAGATAGCTGGCTAGACTAACTAGACTAATTTACCAATCAAAAATGTTTTTATTGACATGGGCTAATTGAGTGACTGTCAGTGAGTGACAGATAACAAGAGGAAAACTGCTGATGCATAACAAAGTTTCGAAATAGCAGCTTGTGTATTCTACTATTCGAACTTCTAACAGTAAGTTGAGACCCCAACTGAGTTCCCCCCCCCCCCCAAAGAAAATATTTAAAAAATATATATTACATACAGTGGGGAGAACAAGTATTTGATACACTGCCGATTTTGCAGGTTTTCCTACTTACAAAGCATGTAGAGGTCTGTAATTTTTATCATAGGTACACTTCAACTGTGAGAGACAGAATCTAAAACAAAACTCCAGAAAATCACATTGTATGATTTTTAAATAATTAATTTGCATTTGATTGCATGACATAAGTATTTGATACATCAGAAAAGCAGAACTTAATATCTGGTACAGAAACCTTTGTTTGCAATTACAGAGATCATACGTTTCCTGTAGGTCTTGACCAGGTTTGCACACACTGCAGCAGATATTTTGGCCCACTCCTCCATACAGACCTTCTCCAGATCCTTCAGGTTTCGGGGCTGTCGCTGGGCAATACAGACTTTCAGCTCCCTCCAAAGATTTTCTATTAGGTTCAGGTCTGGAGACTGGCTAGGCCACTCCAGGACCTTGAGATGCTTCTTACGGAGCCACTCCTTAGTTGCCATGGCTGTGTGTTTCGGGTCGTTGTCATGCTGGAAGACCCAGCCACGACCCATCTTCAATGCTCTTACTGAGGGAAGGAGGTTGTTGGCCAAGATCTCGCGATACATGGCCCCATCCATCCTCCCCTCAATACGGTGCAGTCGTCTTTGCAGAAAAGCATCCCCAATGAATGATGTTTCCACCTCCATGCTTCACGGTTGGGATGGTGTTCTTGGGGTTGTACTCATCCTTCTTCTTCCTCCAAACACGGCGAGTGGAGTTTAGACCAAAAAGCTCTATTTTTGTCTCATCAGACCACATGACCTTCTCCCATTCCTCCTCTGGATCATCCAGATGGTCATTGGCAAACTTCAGACGGGCCTGGACATGCGCTGGCTTGAGCAGGGGGACCTTGTGTGCGCTGCAGGATTTTAATCCATGACGGCGTAGTGTCTTACTAATGGTTTTCTTTGAGACTGTGTTCCCAGCTCTCTTCAGGTCATTGACCAGGTCCTGCCGTGTAGTTCTGGGCTCATCCCTCACCTTCCTTATGATCATTGATGCCCCACGAGGTGAGCCCCAGACCGAGGGTGATTGACCGTCATCTTGAACTTCTTCCATTTTCTAATAATTGCGCCAACAGTTGTTGCCTTCTCACCAAGCTGCTTGCCTATTGTCCTGTAGCCCATCCCAGCCTTGTGCAGTTCTACAATTTTATCCCTGATGTCCTTACACAGCTCTCTGGTCTTGGCCATTATGGAGAGGTTGGAGTCTGTTTGATTGAGTGTGTGGACAGGTGTCTTTTATACAGGTAACGAGTTCAAACAGGTGCAGTTAATACAGGTAATGAGTGGAGAACAGGAGGGCTTCTTAAAGAAAAACGAAAGGTCTGTGAGAGCCGGAATTCTTACTGGTTGGTAGGTGATCAAATACTTATGTCATGCAATAAAATGCAAATGAATTACTTAAAAATCATACAATGTGATTTTCTGGATTCCGTCTCTCACAGTTGAAGTGTACCTATGATAACAATTACAGACCTCTACATGCTTTGTAAGTAGGAAAACCTGCAAAATCGGCAGTGTATCAAATACTTGTTCTCCCCACTGTAGGTCCTGACCTCGGTGTCCTCATATGTAGTTACGGCCCTGCATACATCATTGTTTTCATCCAAACAAAATAATGATGATCTAAAATAAATAAGGGTGAATATTAAACAATTAAGTAAAATAATCATGGTTTATTTTATTTTTTAAAGAAAGTAGTTGTTTTGAACAATATCACTTTTTGAGGGGATTGAACACATATTTCAGGAAGGCTTTTTGCTTTTGAAAGTAGGATTTATGAGGACATATGAATATGAATATTTAGGCACTGTTTTGACAAAAAATAAATAAATCCTTCTTCCCACTGTGGAACCAGGAGACAGACAGCCGAGGAGCGCGAGGCAGAGAGACAGCAGGCCAACCGTCTAATGCTGCAGCTCCAACAGGAGGCCTTTCAGAAGACCCTGAGCCAGCCCCTGCAGCAGGACCCCCTCTGCCTGCACAACTCCTCCTTGTATGCCCTACAGAACCTACAGCCCTGGGCGGAGGACAACAAGGTGACCTCCGTCACCTCCCTGGCATCTGTGGTCTGACTGTCCGTGTGTGTGTTGGTGGTGTGTTTGTGTGTGTGCATCTGTGTGTGCATCTGTGTGTGCATCTGTGTAATTCATAATGAGAATATAATAGTAATATTGAGGATTTTTCTAAGGGGAAATGTGGGTGGGCCATTTGTTGGGGAGTGACCACATATCTACAGTAGACGGATTCACATTCAAATGTATTTTATGCAGACTGTTGCATTGTGGAATTGTACAGTAATATGTTTTGTTATTTAACGTGCATAACAACCGACATTAAGGACAAGGAGGAAACCTGTAGTATATTACGTTTTCTCTATGTATTTCTTTATAAACCACGTATTCTCTTTTATAGATCATATGTGGACTTCTTGGCGTGGACAGACATACATTTAGTTCCACTGAAATGGACAATGATCAATGAGTCTTCTAAGTTTTTTCAGACCTGTTTCTGTCAAGTCATTTTCCTACCTTACACTAGATTTTCACTCTTCCTTCAGCTGTCGGTCTAAACAGAGGACGGAGCTAAATCCTACCAGAAATCTAACGGACACATCGGTAGATGCCTACCATCAAGACTGTCCTGTTGCCAACAGGGAAGCACTGACTCTCAACCATACGGCAACAAAACTGGATCTGATTCCTTTAATTGGATCTGATTCCTTTAACTGGATCTGATTCCTTTGCGTTTGGCTTTGTACAATGTAGTAATGCATGTTCCCGATATTTCTGTGTGCACTTGGAATTGCCGTTGAAGTCACCAGCCTTCCAGGTGGATCCCTTTCCTGACTGCAGTTTGCAAGTAGTATTGTGGAATATCTCTTCGAGGATTCCTCATAACTTACTACATTTAAAGGTGTTTTATATTAAATGATATTGTGATTTTTTGAAAAGATTATCAAAATTGGAAGACTCTCTTTTGTTGTTGTGTCTTGTGGTTTCGTTCACCAGAAAGGATAACTGCATAATTTCACAAAATCACACCTCCTAAAGTAAGAATGTCCTCTACTCTATCAACCTAATGTTGTTGATTATGTCACACTTATTTGCATCTTTCATTTTTACTCTTTCATTTCAATATTCCATCCTTAATGACAACTTCCTCTCCATAGCCAAACCAGCAGGGCATGTTCCACATAACACCAGAGGGCTCTTACCAGTAAAGTGATTGTTACTACAGTATATACAGTTTGGTGCAACAATGGTTTTTGTGAGACTGCTTGGATGCTATCGGTGTAACGATTAACTAAACGCAACACATATTCTGGGAAACAAGGCCCAGGTGGGATGTTTTCTGAACAGTTTGTTCTAAAACCCTAGACCTTGTGGGTAGAACAGTGTCGGTGATGTATGTGAACCATGTCCACCTATAAACTGGACAGTTATCAACATCCAATATCATCCATGTCAAGTCAAAACTCAAATGTCCTATCTGAAGGCACAAAACACTGCTAACCTAGATAGATCTCTGGGGTTGGGCATATATAACTGCATTTCTCTTGTTTGTAAAGGAGGCTTCACTCTCTACTTCACATAGATCACAGATGGTTGCCCACACCAGGAAGTAGTACTTTTCCATTGTGCAGTGTTCCCATGTTGTACTGTTTACAAAAAGTCCATACCACGCTCTTGAAACTCAACGTTAGAATCCTTGTAAAATCGCACGTTCAACCACAAGTCCACAACCCTTTTTTTGTGATATCAATGGCATCAGTCATTGATATCAAGAGAATCTGGAGAATCTTCATAGTTCAAAACAACTGTCTGCCACCCTTTCTGCACAGAGATGGCGTGTTTTTTCAGTTTCGAGGGCGTCTCGCCTGGTTGAGATCCTGTCAATTGTCCAGGTGACGCCTACTCAACCCCCATTTCCTCTGCATTTCCATGGGCCTCTTTCATCCTGCTGTCTCCGATGCCATGAAGACGTGACTTGGCCCATTTTACAATTCCTCATCCTTACTGTTTTCAAACTGTGCATTGTGTTTTGCTACAGGTGCTTAAAGAAGCTGAGTGTTCATTAATTGTTTTACCTCTCCGCCAAAGAGCCTTATCCGTATCCAAGAAAATGTCACCACACAAGAACAAGTTTTGGAACAGGGCACCAAAATATTACTACACATCACATGTTATAAGTGCCATTTTCTATTAATAGAGATGTTCCTTTTCCAGTTTCTTAAAGTGTAAGCAAAAAACTACATGGTCAGTTGTGATTTTGGATCCATTTACAGAATAAAAGGCCTATATAAAATACTTATTTTGGATACCATACCAGAATTCACCCAACCTCTTTAGCTGCCTTTGTCTAAATGAAACCTGTTAATAGTTAAATACATAAACAAGTGGTTCACACTGAGAGAAGTATCGAAGACCTCTTTTACATTTCTAAATTGTTACAACACTCAATCTGTTGAGCGTGTGAGAAAACCCAACACCTTATGTTACAGTTTCGTTTTTTTGCCCTCTGCCTCAACCCTCAATGGGATCCGGCGTCTTTAGTAGCATGTATGACTTCAAAATACTTATGAATGAAGCACGGATGTTTTGCACTGAAGATTTGCTTTGGTGGGAAGAAGTCAACACACGTCAAAGATAAACCCATTCCATAGGTCTCACAGGAGATTGGGATCTTTATCGTTTTCCTTTAAACAGATATAATCTGTGAAATATGTTTTAGGCTTTTATCTTGTCCTGAACTAAATGATTAAGAATAGCCACACAATAATGCTAAATCTTTCTTTTTTTTATCAAACAAAATTGATTTATTGTAGTATTACAAGTTGGGGCTGTCCTAAAGGTATGTGTAGTTATCTTCTAAGGGCATGTGTGCAGTGAGCATGTTGTTGTCACCAACCCAGAGAAATAAGTAGCATTGGCTTATAGTGGTTTTTTTTTAACACACAAAGACAAGCTAGCCTACTGTATCATATGATATTTGACGTAAAATGGAATCTGACATGTGGAATGGAGGAGTCACCTTGCGGTAGCGACAGTTGTTTTTGTGGCATCAGCCCAGAGCTACCTGATCGTGCTGACACAAGTACTCTTATGATTCAGAGGGCGCCTGGAAGAAAAAGTGTTGATTGAGTGCATGGGCCATGTATCACCTGTACAAAGGGTTCTTGAGACAAGCCAGAGCAGACTTTGCTGTACAAACAAGACTTCAAACCACATGCATGAAAAGCTGCCATTCCTTGAATGAGTGCTCTGTTTTTATGGAGTCTTAGCAAAATACTTGAACCAGCATAAGGTTGCAAAAACTAATTATCACCATCACCATCACTTTTAAAAGAGAAGGACAGCTGACAAACCAACAATAAACATTTAACTGATGTAGAAGAAACAAACATTTCAAATCCTTAATAGGAATGAAGAATACATTAATGTGAAGCCCTAAAAGTGCTCCTGTTCTTTTGACCCACTTCAACACTTTACATTAAGTTGGTCTTGTACCTAGTAGTGACATTGTTATTTTTACACAACAACACTGAATTAACATGTTGTAGATGGTATTTTTGTTTTGCATGGCCATGGCATTGAGTGATTTCTGTAATTAGAGAAATATGCACAGTTCCTTATTCCAAACACTACTCCATTACTGTGCAATAACAAAAGTAGCAACGCTATTGTAGTGGATAGTGTTACTACACAGGTATAAATGCAATTTAATGTAATGTAAAGTGTTACACACCATTATAAATAAATTAATACAAAAATTACAAAACAGCAGTTTCATACTACAGTAGATCTTCCAATCTCTGCAAGTATCACACACACAGACTTATTTCTAGGTTATTTGCAATGACTCCATCTAGCGGACGTAAACCAAAGTGCAGGTTCCCCCCTTTTGTCCCACCCCTTGATTCGATTGGTCATATGATTTTCACAACTTCCTTTCAGCTATCCCATTGGCTTACTGAATGTCACTTGCATTTACGGAACAGAACAATAACATTCAGGGGAGAATGGCGGATGATAGCGTCCAAGAAATAACCAGCCCTCAAATGTATTTATTTGGTGAGCACGTCTGTACTGCCAAGTTTAATTTTAGTGCACAATTAGTAATAACAGACATCTGTCCTTCGTTATATAGCTAGCTAGCTATAGCTGTCCCAAAACACACCACATTTATCTAGCTAGCTAACGTTAAGCTAGGTAATGCGCTTCTCGCGCCAATTCAGCAAACCCCTCTTTTGTTTACCTTTTAGCAAGCTAGCAGGCTAACTAGATTAATTTGTTATCAATGATAATGTTATATTTACGTTTTCAATTGTAGAACGCCTACAGCTATTTGTTTAGAGTTTGCTAACCTATGTGTTGTCAACTTTAGGTTGTACACTCAAATCGGACAGAAAGGAGTTCAAAGTTGTGGTGGAGGACGATGATGCGGATCATCAGCTGTCACTCAAAGCAGTAAGATCATCACGATGCCAATTCTGAGCTCGAGCTTGTGTTAGACAAGAGCAGCGTTTCCCAAACTCGGTGCACGTTATGGTTTTTGCCCTAACACTACACAGCTGATTCAAACTATCAAAGCTTAATGATTAGTCGATTATTCGAATCAGCTGTGTAGTGCTAGGGCAAAAAACAAAACGTGCACCCCATGGGGTCCCGAGGACCGGGTTTGAGAAACCCAGGACTAGAGAATATTATAACATTGTACTTGGCCAAAGGTTAATAATTTCGTTTTAAAACAATAAAAATGTCCTGACAAATGATGCATGCAATAAAAATGTCCATCGGAATTAGGTCCTGACAACTGATGTATTTCAGTTAAACAACATTGAGAGAGTTTCTGTAATTGTAATGATATAGCTATATGTTTTTATATATTCTTCATCAATTCCTTTTATTTGTACACCTTCTGCAGTATATTTATCTTTGCACCTGTGCAGAATGTGCACCTGTTAGAGAAACATTTAAGACAAATACAATGACAACTTCTATTTTATGTCATTGCATATCCAGTCTCTATTTCACCTGATGTTTACTTTTTGTTTGTGTAACGCCATGCCACAATACCAAGTTCACCTATGTCAACATTATAAATGAGTCACAGTTCTTTGAAGTATATTTAAAGGAATAACATTTTAGTCAACAATGTGTTTTCTTATACTAACCTTCTGATCCTTTTCCTACCATTGCAAATGACTCAGTCCCTATCCTCTAAATGAATATCCTCATTGTAACATTCTTTCAGTCGCTCTCCCTTTTTGCCACCAAGTAGAGATGATGATTGACAGAGAAATTAGGGAGACGGTAGGTTGTTGGCGTGTTCCAACATGGCTAAACATACAGTATCATATCTGTGAAACAGCTGTGTGTGTGTTGGTGTTGCAGGTGTGCCTGGGCACTGAGGCCGAGGATAAGTTTCACACGGTGGAGATCGAGGGCGTCACATACGACGGAAAGACCACCAAAATTCCACTGGCTGTGCTGAAGCCGTCCGTGCTGCCCTCTGTGAGTGTTTTAGAATTATGTGCTGTTACTCACCTGAAACTTATTTTAACCCTGTCCCTTATTCCACTTTTGTAATAGTGGAAAACACTCAACTCCATTACCATGCAATTACTAAGCAATTACTCAAATAACATGTGTTGTTACTATAGTAATTACAGTGTTACTAATTCACAGGTCTACACAGATGCTACAGCTATATTTGGCCATGACCCAAGCCACAACACTGGGCTGGATGCAATGAGCCACACAACCCATTTCCAGTGTATTGCACATCTTTGATTTTGCACACGCTACATTGGTGGCTCTAGAGACAGCTACTTACGCTTGTTAATGACTCTGAAGCAGACCATGAGCGGCTATGTCTCCATGATGTCAGGCTTGTTGCTCCTAAAGTAATCCAGTTTCCACCTATTAAATGGAAAATATGATTGCCGCCCTGATCCAGAGATCCAGAGAACACTGTCACCATTGCTTGCTCTTTGGGGATTTAGGCTGGGTATCTGTATAAGCAATTGTGTGACAACTGCTGATGTAAAAAGGGCTTTATAAAATACATTTGATTGATTGATTGTCTCTGTTTATGACCTCCATTGTTTAAATATGCTTGGCTTGTTGCCTTCTGCATAGCTCGGGCCAATGATACAAGCTAGTGTGTATTTTGGTTCTGGTTCAGGGCTTGAAAACACTAGCTGTGAGTGGATAATTGTGTTATTTATGGAAGTTATCACTACCTGAACACTTTTACAGTAGTTATTCTAACACATACATCTGTGTTTTGTTTGGTTGCCATTGCAACCAGAACAATGGCCTGGCAGTTAGGAATTCACATTGACAACTGTCTGGCAGCACCCACTTCTTTTATGTTTAGCAAGCAGATACAAGTGAATATATGTTTTGATTTTGATAAGATAGTAATAGATAATTTGATACAACACCTTTGCTTGCAGGTCTGTGGGATCCACCCTCCCTCCCCCAAGTTGAATGTACATTCTGTAAATGTAATTTGTGACGTTGAACATCTATGGAGTTTTGGTTGAATTTTTTACATTTACATTTTAGTCATTTAGCAGACGCTCTTATCCAGAGCGACTTACAGGAGCAATTAGGGTTAAGTGCCTTGCTCAAGGGCACATCGACAGATTTTTCACCTAGTCGGCTCTGGGATTAGAACCAGTGACCTTTCGGTTACTGGCACAACGCTCTTAACCACTAAGCTACCTGCCGCCATTTCCAACCAATGTTTTGATGGTGTCAACCTCTCATCGAATGTGAAACAATTGTTTGAAATATTGACTTGCTTATTTTATTCCTAATTTTGGCAGATGAGTTTAGGAGGGTTTGAGATCACCCCTCCAGTAACCTTCCGCCTCCAGTCTGGCTGTGGACCAGTATACATCAGTGGACAGCATTTTGTCAGTGAGTGACTTTTCATTTGCAGTCTGCTGATTTAGTTGTTTGTATACTCTCTTTGGGCTAGATATAAGGTGACATTTTGACAGTACAAGACAGCAGCACTGAATTAATTATTTCCACTTTGCAAAAGAGGTGTAACCTAATCTCAATTTGTAGATGTGAAGGACTCTGATGACGAAGAGGAGGAAAACAACTCATCACCTGTGAAGAGGCCGTTAAGCTTGACCTCGGGGAAGCGTCCTGCTCCGGTATGTTTTTCTTGCTGTTTACTTCGCTCATACAAGAGGGACATAACTTAATTATTGGACTGGATTCAGCTGCATACAGTTAGGTCCAAAATTATTTGCACCCTTGATAAAGATGAGCAGAAAAATACTATAAAATGAAGAATACAAATACTGAGCTATACAAATACAGTATTCTTTAAAAAATTCAACAAAAAAAAGGGAAATTATATTATTTTATATTAATGCTCAGAGAAATACATTTTGTTCAACAAATAATATATATATTTTTAATGATAGTGGTCAAAATTATTGGCACCCCTGTTTTCAATACCTTTCGATACTTTACCTTGCGAGGATAACATCACTGAGACTTTTTCTAAAAGGTTTTATGAGATTGGAGAACATATTTGGAAAAGTCTTAGAGCATTCCTCCACACAGAATCTTTCCAGATCCTTGATTAAGTTCATGATACCGTTGACCTTAAGAAGGGCCCCAGGACCAGTGGAAGCAAAATAGCCCCATAACATCAAAGATCCACCACCATATTTTACAGTAGGTATGGGGTTCTTTTCTGCAAATGCATCGTTCTTTCAACGCCAAACCCACCTCTGGTGTGCGTGGCCAAAGAGCTCTATTTTCATGTCATCTGACCGTAGCACCGGTTCCAATCCAAGTGTCAATGCCATTTAGCAAACTCCAGACGTTTTACATCAAATCAAATTCCATTATTCGCATACACATGTTTAGCAGATGTTATTGCGGGTGTAGCAAAATGCTTGTGTTCCTAGCTCCAACAGTGCAGTAATATCTAACAATACACACAAATCTAAAAGTAAAAGAATGGAATTAAGAAATATAAAAATATTAGGACGAGCAATGTCGAAGTCCAGAGTATAAATATATACAGTATATATGTGATGGGATGTATAGACATGATGGACAGTGTGGATAGGATATATAGTATATCTGAAGAATACGTGGATAGAATAGTATATGTACAGCAATAGTTGAATAGGATGGACCTTGACTAGAATACAGTATATACATATGAAATGGGTAAAACAGTATGTAAACATTATTAAAGGGACCAGTGTTCCATTATTAAAGTGACCAGTGTTCGATGTCTATGTACATAGGGCAGCAGCCTCTAATGTGCAGGGATGAGTAACCGGGTGGTAGCCGGCTAGTGACAGTGACTAAGTTCAGGGCAGGGTACTGGGTGGAGGCCGGCTAGTGATGGCTATTTAACAGTCTGATGGCCTTGAGATAGAAGCACTGTCCCAGCTTTGATGCACCTTTGATATTATGTTATTTTGCTTCCACTGGTCCAATGGCATCATGAACTTTACCCAATACCAAGACATTTTTTGCCAGAAACCTGTTTGCCTCTGCCAGGAGGCTGAAACTTGGTCACAAGTGGATCTTCCAGCAATAATGGAACTTGAACTGCATTGAATTAAAGAGGGCAGTCCATAAGTGCAGACAAAGGATATTAAGGATATGGAAAGATTCTGTATGGAGGAATGGTCTAAAATCCCTCCCAATGTGTTCTCCAATCTCATAAAACATGTTAGAAAAAGGCTCAGTGTCATTAACCTCACAAGGTGAGGTATTGAAAGGTATCGAAAACAGGTGCCAATAATTTTGAACACATTCTTTTTGAGATAAAAAAAAAATTACTTTTTGAACAAAATCTCATTCTCTGAGCAATTGTATAAAATTATATAATTTCCCCATTTTTTGGAGCACACAACATAGCTCAGTATTTGTATTCTTTATTTTATAGTATTTTTTTGCTAATCTTTATCAAGGGTGCCAATAATTTTGGACCTGACTGTACATACCATATTCCTCAGCAGTCCTTATTCATGACCAAAAGTTTGAAAATATTGTGGCCCTTTGCAGAAGAAACTGAAAATGGAGTCAGATGATGATGATGATGACAGCGATGAAGATGACGATGATGATGAGTATGAATCTTTTTTGTATTTTAGATTTGTTGCATCATATATCTTTGTTCAACTACCATTAGATAACCTGACATACATTTTCGTGTTCTATTCTTTGTAGTGATGATGACGACGATAGTGATGAAGATGAGGGTGATGTGAAAGTACAGAATGTTCCAGTGAAATCAACTATAAAGAAAGTAAGCCCTTTTTGTTCTCTCGCCTCAACAAAAAAAATTACACTGGGTATAGATGATGTACCTTATATGTCCACTAGGTGTCATGTTAGACAAGGACTTGTCCATGTAGCAGAGCATGCCAAGAGGCTGCATTCACATAGGCAGCCCAATTCTGATCTTTTTCCCACTAATTGGTCTTAAACCAATCACATCAGGTCTTTTCATATCAGATCTTTTCAGAGCTGATCTGATTGGTCAAAAGACTAATTAGTGAAAAAAAGATCAGAATTGGGCTGCCTGTCTAAACGCAGCCTTAGATCAAATAAAATTGTATTTGTCACATGCGCCTAATACAACAGGTGTAGACCTTATAGTGAAATGCTTACTTACAACCCTTAACCAACAATGCAGTTTTAAGAAAGAATACCAACAAAAATCACACACAAAATTACAATATAAAATAATACGAAATAAAAGTAACAAATCATTAAAGAGCAGCAGTAAAATAACAATAGCGAGGCTATATACAGGGGGTATCGGTACCAAGTCAATGTGCAGGGGCACCGGTTAGTTGAGGTAATATGTACATGTAGGTAGAGTTAGATCCAACAAGTACTACTATGTTGACATTTTGCAGACAAGAGCGACTTACTGTAGTGAGTGCATACATTTTTGTACTTTTCATACTGGTCCCCCGTGGGAATCGAACCCACAACCCTGGTGTTGCAAGCGCCATGCTCTACCAACTGAGCCACGCGGGACCATCTTAGATAGCTGGGATTGGGACATATAGTAGGCATATTTTATTTTATATATATTTTATGGTCTTACATCAAGTCTTATTTGTGTACTGCATATCAGTGTCAACGACAATTTTTAAATGTTTTATAGTTATTGCATGTTTGGTAAACTAGACATGTTTTTAGCTCTTTCATTTCTGCACCCGTTGACCTGCGGCCATTTTTTCATCTGGTTCCCTCTCGTACCCATCTGGTTTTTCGAGACTAAAGCACAGGGTCTGCCGGGTATAATGATCGGATTTCTCCTCTGTAATCTACCTGAGCACTCTGTGTTTCACCAGCACTGTGCAGAGCGAAACGCATGCTATAGTAGTAAAGACAACTCAAGAAAGGCATGGGACTCCCCCCCCCCCCCCCCCCCTCTATATGGCACCTAGGCCTACATGTCCTGTCCCTCAGTCCTCCCACCTTTCTCTTACGTTCCTCTCTTTATCCTCTCTTTCTCTCTGATACCCCCTTCTCTTGTTCAACAGTCCGTCATTGCACCTGGCCTTTGTCTTTGAACAGTGTGTGTGTTCGCGTGTACATGTGTGCCTGTGTGTGTGTATCATTGTGTGTGTGTGTGTGTGTGTGTCTGTTTGTGATTTTAAAGGCAGCGTCCAAGTCTTAACTGTGCCAGACCGAGAGAGATCAAAGCGGGGCAGATGCACATACCTGCGACATGAGCACTGATTCTAGCCCCAGAGCCAGACGACAGCTGAGCATTTCTGTCACCTGTTGATTTATTCTGCTCCACACACAGCTCCCCTCCTCCGTTAATTATTTATATTTCTTCTACTTCCTCTTCTTTTCTTTGCTCTCTATCTCTTTGTCATGCTCATACTGTATTATAGTGATGAGCAGTGACAGTATGGATATTACTATGCTTCCTGGGTTGAAACCCAGAGGACAGAAAGCATACTAATTGCCCCCCTTTACTCCCCAACGACCTCCTTTACTGATCTGACTGTAGTAGTGTATAGACAGACATAAAAGCAGACAGACAGGCAGACAGACAGTGAGATAAATGCTGTTCAAACTGAAGAGTATTAAAAGTGCTGTGGTCTATTTTGACAACAGCAACACTTTTTTTGCAGTGTCAACATGTCATCCTAAATGAAACGATTACTGGAATTTGATTTTCGGTTGTGTATAGTGCTTCCTGCATGTCTCCCAACTAATTCTGTTGTCTCTTAGAGCCCGGAGCCTTTGGGGCAGAAGCCTAGAAGTGTGACATGGGCGCAGAATGGCTCACCAGGGAAACAAGGGGGACCATTGGCTAAACCTCAAACCAAGGTAGGTCAACTTTTACATCTGTTTAGGCCTCTTTAGGCCAACATGAAGCCAGAGTAATTACGCACATCCAAATGAAGCACTGTTGGCTGCTCCCAAAAGTGGTCTTTTCATTTAGCAGATCAATTGTAGAGTTTTCAATCTATGGGAAAAGGTCATGTGATTCCAAAATAGGCCTAGAGCTGAGGAGGCAATGAGAGTTTCCAAGGAGTTGTTTGTGGTTAGGCAATCCCAAAGCAGCCAGTTTAAGGGGGCGTTTGTGGTCTGGGCTTCAAAACAAACTCCTGGAAAACACATGTTCTTTGCCAGCCAGTTTAGAGAGAAGAATCTTAAGGTCGGCATTATGCTGCTGAACATGAAAAATGGCAGATGTCTTTCGCCATGTAGGAGTTGTGATGTGTAGCGAACATACACATCAGCTGTTTCCTTCCATGAAATTGTTCATGCGGGACAGTGTAGAAAATCCTGCGTGCACTAGAGACATTTCTGTTACCAGTCTGTCACGAGACTAGATTACATTTTTAAAATGTAAATAAAGCTTATTAATACCTATATATTTTCATAGTAGTTACATTTGAATGTTCATGGTAAGACAAATATTTATAAGACTTGTCTGCTTATAAGACCACTGTCCCAGAGGTACTTGCCAGACTCTCAGCAAGCTGCATGGAATCAAAGCACAGCAAAGAACGTGTTGAATCCAAGTAGCAATTAGCTCAAGACTGGTACTTAATTTCTCAGGTGGAATGTCTTGGACGACAGCCTTACAAACCCGAGGATTGAACTCTCTCAGTGTTAAACAAACACATCTGACCCCTGAACACGTTTCCCAGGATGGGGTTTAAGACCACGACCCCTCGGCCTGACCTACCGTTTTGGGTTGAAGACCACTTTGATGCCAAAATGTCCCTCCCCCCACCTCCCACCTTTGCAACCTTCTCATTTTCCACCCATCCTTAAGAATGCCCTAATCAGCCCCCCGTAGCCCCCCAAATGACTCTAGCTTGATTTTAAACAGTACCAGTGACCTGTTGTCGCAGTCATTTCTCTCTTGTATTGACATAAAATATGCTAGCCTCTAACAACAACAGGTTGTTTTTGATGAGCATTAATCAAAAAATAAATTAACCATGAATGAGAACCTCTTATTTCGTTTTTCATAGCAGTGTCTCAATCCCCTTTTCTCTCGAACAATATGTAAGGTAAAACGCCTAAAACACTTCATGTCATGACAAGAAATGATCAAAATCCTCCTAGAACATTGTTTCGGATTGAAAACTGTATCCTTTGTGTGTGATGTCAGACGCTAATGCACAATGAGGTGAGACTTGCTATGCTAATCACCCGGGGCGTTGCGTAGCCCTCAGGGCAGCGTGCGGTGTGTGGTAGAGCGCGCTGGCTAATCTATTTAATTCTGTAATGGCCGCTGTTCAGCACGTCACGACAGCCGTTGTTAAAGTGCTAGTGGGGATTAACCAGCAGTCTAACTGCTGAAACCTGCCAGTTTAACTCCCAAGTCCCGCCCTACCTAATCCTAACCCCGACCCCCCCCCCCCCCCCCCTCAGCCACCCCTCCCTCCCTCCCTCCCTCTCCAACAGCCTCCTCACACCCCTCGCTTCCTGTACACACCTTCTCCCAATTGCTCTCATTACGGGTGTTTGATGTCTAGGGCAACAGGCAGGTTGCTCCCAGATGCCCCTGAGGTTGGAGGAAGCAGGCGTTTTCTTAGTGCAGGTGACTGGTCATTAGGGTGGCTCATCAGATCCTTTGCCAGTGCCTCTCTCACCATATTTCTAAACTCTTTGTCCCGTCGTCTACGTTTTTTGGTAGAGGGAAATGGGTCAATATGACTGGCATTCGAGTTTGTCCGTCTGAATTTTATAGTCTATAGTGTGTTAGTGCTTTTTGATTGATGGAAGTGGAAGCAGGCTGCCTGCTCTGTGATGATGCCTCTGAGCAGGCGCCACGGTCGTAAAGCTGTAAGATGCTCTGCCTGGGATCCTCCTTTGAAGACGTAAATCTTCACTTTTGGCGACTGACGGACACCCAGTTCAATGTGTACTAGGGGTGTGAACCTTAACATTAAGAAAAATCCCTAAAATACACTGCTCAAAAAAATAAAGGGAACACTTAAACAACACAATGTAACTCCAAGTCAATCACACTTCTGTGAAATCAAACTGTCCACTTAGGAAGCAACACTGATTGACAATAAATGTCACATGCTGTTGTGCAAATAGAATAGACAACAGGTGGAAATTATAGGCAATTAGCAAGACACCCCCAATAAAGAAGTGGTTCTGCAGGTGGTGACCACAGACCACTTCTCAGTTCCTATGCTTCCTGGCTGATGTTTTGGTCACTTTTGAATCCTGGCGGTGCTTTCACTCTAGTGGTAGCATGAGACGGGGTCTACAACCCACACAAGTGGCTCAGGTAGTGCAGCTCATCCAGGATGGCACATCAATGCGAGCTGTGGCAAGAAGGTTTGCTGTGTCTGTCAGCGTAGTGTCCAGAGCATGGAGGCGCTACCAGGAGACAGGCCAGTACATCAGGAGATGTGGAGGAGGCCGTAAGAGGGCAACAACCCAGCAGCAGGACCGCTACCTCCGCCTTTGTGCAAGGAGGAGCAGCAGGAGCACTGCCAGAGCCCTGCAAAATGACCTCCAGCAGGCCACAAATGTGCATGTGTCTGCTCAAACGGTCAGAAACAGACTCCATGAGGGTGGTATGAGGGCCCGACATCCACAGGTGGGGGTTGTGCTTACAGCCCAACACCGTGCAGGATGTTTGGCATTTGCCAGAGAACACCAAGATTGGCAAATTCGCCACTGGCGCCCTGTGCTCTTCACAGATGAAAGCAGGTTCACACTGAGCACATGTGACAGACGTGACAGAGTCTGGAGACGCCGTGGAGAACGTTCTGCTGCCTGCAACATCCTCCAGCATGACCGGTTTGGCGGTGGGTCAGTCATGGTGTGGGGTGGCATTTCTTTGGGGGGCCACACAGCCCTCTATGTGCTCGCCAGAGGTAGCCTGACTGCCATTAGGTACCGAGATGAGATCCTCAGACCCCTTGTGAGACCATATGCTGGTGCGGGTTCCTCCTAATGCAAGACAATGCTAGACCTCATGTGGCTGGAGTGTGTCAGCAGTTCCTGCAAGAGGAAGGCATTGATGCTATGGACTGGCCCGTCCGTTCCCCAGACCTGAATCCAATTGAGCACATCTGGGACATCATGTCTCGCTCCATCCACCAACGCCACGTTGCACCACAGACTGTCCATGAGTTGGCGGATGCTTTAGTCCAGGTCTGGGAGGAGATCCCTCAGGAGACCATCCGCCACCTCATCAGGAGCATGCCCAGGCGTTGTAGGGAGGTCATACAGGCACATGGAGGCCACACACACTACTGAGCCTCATTTTGACTTGTTTTAAGGACATTACATCAAAGTTGGATCAGCCTGTAGTGTGGTTTTCCACTTTAATTTTGAGGGTGACTCCAAATCCAGACCTCCATGGGTTGATAAATTTGATTTCCATTGATACTTTTTGTGTGATTTTGTTGTCAGCACATTCAACTATGTAAAGAAAAAAGTATTTAATAAGATTATTTCATTCATTCAGATCTAGGATGTGTTGTTTAAGTGTTCCCTTTATTTTTTTGAGGAGTGTATATATATACAGTGAGGGAAAAAAGTATTTGATCCCCTGCTGATTTTGTACGTTTGTCCACTGACAAAGAAATAATCAGTCTATAATTTTAATGGTAGGTTTATTTGAACAGTGAGAGACAGAATAACAACAACAAAATCCAGAAAAACGCATGTCAAAAATGTTATAAATTGATTTGCATTTTAATGAGGGAAATAAGTATTTGACCCCCTCTCAATCAGAAAAATGTCTGGCTCCCAGGTGTCTTTTATACAGGTAACGAGCTGAGATTATGAGCACACTCTTAAAGGGAGTGCTCCTAATCTCAGCGTGTTACCTGTATAAAAGACACCTGTCCACAGAAGCAATCGATCAATCAGATTCCAAACTCTCTACCATGGCCAAGACCAAAGAGCTCTCCAAGGATATCAGGGACAAGATTGTAGACCTACACAAGGCTGGAATGGGCTACAAGACCATCGCCAAGCAGCTTGGTGAGAAGGTGACAACAGTTGGTGCGATTATTCGCAAATGGAAGAAACACAAAAGAACTGTCAATCTCCCTCGGCCTGGGACTTCATGCAAGATCTCACCTCTTGGAGTTGCAATGATCATGAGAACGGTGAGGAATCAGCCCAGAACTACACGTGAGGATCTTGTCAATGATCTCAAGGCAGCTGGGACCATAGTCACCAAGAAAACAATTGGTAACACACTACGCCGTGAAGGACTGAAATCCTGCAGCGCCCGCAAGGTCCCCCTGCTCAAGAAAGCACATATACAGGGCCGTCTGAAGTTTGCCAATGAACATCTGAATGATTCAGAGGAGATCTGGGTGAAAGTGTTGTGGTCAGATGAGACCAAAATGGAGCTCTTTGGCATCAACTCAACTCGCCGTGTTTGGAGGAGGAGGAATGCTTCCTATGACCCCAAGAACACCATCCCCACCGTCAAACATGGAGGTGGAAACATTATGCTTTGGGGGTGTTTTTCTGCTAAGGGGACAGGACAACTTCACCGCATCAAAGGGACGATGGACGGGGCCATGTACCGTCAAATCTTGGGTGAGAACCTCCTTCCCTCAGTCAGGGCATTGAAAATGGGTCGTGGATGGGTATTCCAGCATGACAATAACCCAAAACACACAGCCAAGGCAACAAAGGAGTGGCTCAAGAAGAAGCGCATTAAGGTCCTGGAGTGGCCTAGCCAGTCTCCAGACCTTAATCCCATAGAAAATCTGTGGAGGGAGCTGAAGGTTCGAGTTGCCAAACGTCAGCCTCGAAACCTTAATGACTTGGAGAAGATCTGCAAAGAGGAGTGGGACAAAATCACTCCTGAGATGTGTGCAAACCTGGTGGCCACCTACAAGAAACGTCTGACCTCTGTGATTGCCAACAAGGGTTTT